TAGGTTAATCTGATATTGTATTCACATATCATTCAGCGGTAGGTTAATCTGACATTGTATTCACATATCATTCAGCGGTAGGTTAATCTGACATTGTATTTACATATCATTCAGCGGTAGGTTAATCTGACATTGTATTTACATATCATACAGCTAGAGGTAAATCTGACATTGTATTTACATATCATTCAGCTATAAGTACATCTGATTTTGTGGAGTATGTATTACCATAGGATTTTTTTGGTGGTCCAGATAAAACTGTTTCACATGTTCTTTATAAATGATCATTTGAATTTATTGAGATAATTTTTATATTTCAATCTGATGCATAAATATTGAGATATTCAACTAGAAGACCAGTACCACAACAGGAAACATATTGAACAATAAACAACATTTAATATGTAGAGACCTTTATAGCAGGTGTACACCAGGTTACATCTATTTTAAAGGCAAGCTTTTAGTACTGTTCAGCTGATGGAAGACTAGCATCAAAAGCTTACTTGTCGAACAGCTATAATGCAATGTAAAGCCTTTTGATGTCTTACAACTGTTTCTTTTCATGTTTCAAGGACAACATTCAGTTATGTAGAGATTGGTTGGGTTTTTTTTATTGACTTGTAACATAAAGATTTTTATGAAATGTCAAAATATCTGATATGTTGTGCTTGTGTTTTCTTTCTAGCGGCAAGACATGGTAGAAATAGTTGACCATTCTAGAATTGTTAAAAATTGTCCATTGCTTGATATTTCTCAACCTGGGAATCAGAATATTTTAAACCAAGAACATCAAGATAGACTGTCTCATCATGATCAAAAGGTTAGCTTAAACTGCTCAGGCCAATTTTTAGGACAGCAAGATCAACAAGGAATACAGAATTACACGGATCAACAGTTTGACAATGTTTATAGATATAAACAGGTTGACCAAAGATCTATGTTAAACCAACAAAACCAATTAGATCAAAAGAGACAAAATCAAACTGAAGTTAAAAGATCGATGCGGTCGGGTGGAAACAGGAGTCTAAGCTCTCAAAACCTTTATTGTAGACAAACTCAAGCTGATCATTCCAGAATAAACACAAATGGTTACCACGTAAAGCAAGATCAACCAGAAATACATATCAGACTTAATTCACGTAATCAACAGTTACTGTACCGCTCGGTTCAAGATGTTAGATCTGTTAAATTGGACACAGTTTTTAAATCCAATAAGTTAGATCAGAACTCTCAAAAACAATCTGATCAACAAATGAACTACTATGGTCAAATTCATCCAGGTCACCATAAGAAACCTAATCCATCAGATGAGAATGCAAGTTTAAACCAACAAAATCGGTACAATAGATTTAACCAGTATGACTCTCATGAGAGACTTAATCACCCAGAACAGAATTCAAGATTAAACCAGCAAGATCAATGTGGAAGAGGAAGACCTAACCAACTATTGCAACATAACAAACTTAATAACCCAGAACCGAATTCAGGGTTAAGCCAACAAGTTCAACATGGAAGACCTAACCAACTACTGCAACATAACAAACTTAATAACCCAGAACTGAATTCAGGGTTAAGCCAACAAGTTCAACATGAAAAACTTGACCAACTACTGCAACATAACGAACTAAATCACCCAGAATCGAATTCAGGGTTAAGCCAACAAGTTCAACATGGAAGACCTAACCAACTAATGCAGCATAACAAACTTAATAACCCAGAGCCAAATTCAGAGTTAAGCCAACAAGTTCAACATGAAAAACTTGACCAACTACTACAGCCTACCAAATTTAATCACCCAGAACAGAAGTCAAGATTAAACCAGCAAAATCAACATGGAAAACCTGTCCAATTACTGCAGCATAACAAACTTAATCATCCAGAATCGAATTCAGGGTTAAGCCAACAAGTTCAACATGAAAAACTTGACCAACTACTACAGCCTACCAAATTTAATCACCCAGAACAGAAGTCAAGATTAAAC